TCTATGCTTGTTATATGTGTGAAATTTGGTAAAATTCGGTCCAGTAATAAGCGAGATAGCCTCCAGGTGTAGCCCCCCCCCCCTTAATGGCGTTAAAGGAGTCCTTCTCAAGAATATCAGCTACATAAACCACCCAGCTAGCCCTTGACCGAACATTTCTCCTCTTCTCATTATCTAACGATACAAGCAAGAGGATTAAGTGAGGTAAATTACATTTTGAATGAGATGCGTGCCACATATTATCCTACATCGTGTTGCATAATGGGATAACATTTTGTTTGTTACGCATTATAACCCCTGTCAACCGCTCCACGTTGCGATTAGCCATGGCTGTGTTGTACTGAACTGTCCTTGGACTGACGCTCACAAATTAATTAAGATATCCCTCCCCCTTTTTCTGTGACCTATCAGTGAACAATCCGAGAACCAATATCGGGCGGACATGGTAGGGAGCCGATAAAAAGAGCGTAAGGGAAGGTAGAAACTTTACCGATATATCGCGTCAGAAAACTATACCAGCGAAGGTCCACTCATCAAACTTTACTAAGAACAAAAGCGCAAAAGAAATTTAGACAACTCATGCTTCTACACACGTATTTCTAAGGAATCAATACCAGAATGTTGCATGATTAATGGGAACAACGATTTTTTTCTCAAAGGGAGAGGCGTTCACAGTCTTTTATCAGAATCTACATTAAGTCAAATGTTTAGAGAGTGCCGCATTCATCTTCTTTGAGGTAAAAGTGTATGATCCCGAATGTTTAACTCATAGTTTGTCTACTTTGTGAATGGTTTCTGCTTTAAATACGGCTCTGCCCCGCCGCCCCCCCCCACACACACACACACACACGCTTTTGCCTTCCCAACAACTCCACAATAACTCCAGCACTGTATCAAAAGAAACCCCAAGATTTTTTAAAAGTTTGAACTTCAAATATCGAATATTGCACAGTCAAATATCCAGACAGTCGGAAAACTTGGCCAAAATAACAATCGCCTCGTCATGACACACATGTAGGAAAGTCTGATCAATATCCACCAGTGTTATAATTAAATGATTAAAACGTGTAGACCCTGGGCACTCATGGGAGACTGGGGCCTTTAATTGATCATGAGACAACCGGAACCTATTAGTTCCTCTTAACAGATGCTCCTCATTGAGGAAAGGAAAGAGAGAATATAAATTATAAGTTTGAACTGTACGGACCTCAAGACCGTTAACAACCAATTCCAGAATCCTGGCCTTCTAATTATCATAGAGGTAATATAACGTTTCCATCTTGCGTCTGTGGCTTTGCAGTTGGGCGCTTTGCCGTCACATGCAGAAGACCTGAGTTCGATTTCCGTGTGAGGAGAATTCTTATTAAACACATTACATCCATTTCTTCTGGGGCGTTGTATCCCTTTAATCTCAGGTTTTTACCAACAGAAGGGGTGAATGCAGCCCACCTCCCTGGTGTTCTAAATAGAGTCAAG